AAAATTGGCCACTCTGCTTCTGCTCTGGGCAGTCCTGGGTGTGCTGCTGGCAAGTGGGGTGTGAGCATCACATTCATGGTGCCTTCCTGTTCCCAGATCAGGCGGGACGGATGAAGGATGGCTAGGTACAGCCGAGACTGGATGGTGGGATGTAGTAAGAGTGTAGGGAGGATCCTGTGGGGTCCAGCTGGGCTGGGGTCTCCACTTGGATATCATATGGATGGTGAATCACCAGGCATGCAGCTTTTCCGCTTCGAGCCTTGTTTTCCCTGTGAAGATGGTTATGCTAAAGGTTCATGACCTGGATTGGGTCAGGCCCCAGTGCCTATGGCTTAATAAATCCTCAATCAATGGCATCTGTTGTGGTTGGCTTTGTTATGATCACAGCCACTGGCATCACCAGAGCTCACACTCCAGACTCTATCATGAATGAAGTCCAAGCAAGTGCCTCAAGTCTGTCTGTGCTCTTCAGTTTGGCACCTACACTGCCTGCAAAGCCTGGATTCCTGGGGACTTGGCTTCTGGCTCTTGAGCTCCTCGGTCTAGCTCAGTGCCCAGTAAGCAAGTGCTCCATATATGGTAACCAAGTAACCAACAAGGGAAACTCCCTGTCTATAAGTGAAATAGCTCCTTTAGAATTCACATAGCATAAACTTAAAACATCCAAAAAGATTTGTCATTAGAAAAATCTCCTACATAGTGAGTAGTTGGGGCTGGGTGGTGGCTTGATAGCAAGCACAAGGACCTGAGTTCAGTCCCCAGCACCTACCTTAAAAAGTGGGAGTGGTGACAGGTGCTAACAATCCCAGCACTGGTGAGGTAGAGACGGGGGTCCCTGGGGCTCAATCAACCAGCCTAACCTACTAGGTGAGCTCCAGTCCTGTCTAAAAAAACAAAGTAGACAGAGTCCTGAGAAACAACACCAGAGGTTGTCCTCTGGCCCACACATGTGCACCCACACACACATTCACTCATACACATTCATAAAAAATTAAAAACAGATGGGTGAGCACCTAAGTTTATTGCTAGAATACAGATGTTTTTACATTTTAAAATTTATTTTTATTTTGTGTGTACAGGTCTTTTGCCTGTATGTGTGTGAGTGTACCACATGCATGCAGTACCCACAGAAACCAGAAGAGGGCATCAGATCCCCTGGAGCTGGAATTAGGGACAATTGTTAGCTGCCATGAGGGTTCTGAGAACCAGACCTGGGTCCTCTGCAAGAGCAACCAGTGCTCTTAACTGCTGAACCAATTCTCCAGCCCTTAGAATACAAATATTTTATTTATTTATTTTTTATTTTTATTTTTTTGAGACAGAATCTCCCTGTAGCTCCAACTGGTCTCAATATGTAGACCAGTCTGGCCTTAAACTCACAGAGATCTGCCTGCCTCTGCCTCCCTAGTGCTGGAATTAAAGACGGGCACCACCACACCCTGCCAGAATACAAATATTTTCATTTCTGCCCTGCAGTCCTCTTCAGTCTGGTTAGATGTAAACACATGGAAAGATACACAGTGTATGAAATCAGTGCCTTCCCATCGTCCTGCAGTGCTGATAAACTCTTTCCACCCTTGTATGATTGTTTGGTGAATAACGTCATGGAAAAATATCTACAAATAGTGTGTGGTAATTTGCCCACTGAGCTGTAGAGGCTCTGAGGCTGTCTAGACTCTTGGAGACAGGGAGTGGGATTCAAATAAGAAGAGTAAGAATGAACCAGGCCTTCTGTAGACCTCGATGTACAATGAAATTGGAGAGATAGGTAGAACATACCATCCTTAGATACCAGGAGAAAGGGGTGAAGGAAACAGATGGGCTGAGTTGTATGTGGAAGGGTATGTGTGCATGTGTGTGCATGTGTTGACAGAGGTCAACTTCAGGTATCATTTTTCAGGAGTGGTCCATCTTGTTTTTTTGTTTTGGTTTTTTTTTTAAACTTTATGCATATGAGTATTTTGCCTGCATGTTGGTAAACGCATCACATGCATGCAGTGCCCTCAACAGGCCAGAAGAAGGGGCCTCATCCCCTAGAACTGGAGTTATGATGGTTGAGATAGGCTCTCAGCTGGGACCTGGGGCTGGCTGAACATGCTATGCTGACTCAGCCAACTCCAGGGTCTGCTTGTCTCCGCTGCCTCAGCACCTGCTTTGTAAGTTAGTCCCACCTTGCCCAATTTTTTATGAGGGTTCTGAAGCCTGAATTTAGGTCTTCATGCTTACAAGGCAAGAGCTTTACCAACTGAGTCATCTCCCCAACCATGGAACTGATCTTAGTTAAATGATATTAGCTCCCTGCTCAGGCTCCCCCCCCCCCCCCCCCCCCCAAAAAAAAAGCCACCAGATCCGTACCACCAGCACAGGGTATGGATCTTGTCTTGGAGACAGGTGGGTGCAAAGGTCTCTGAGCTCAGTTGATGTAGACAGACTACAAGAAGTGTAAGGAGAGCAATTAAAGAATGGTGGGGCGTGTAAATGAAATATGATTTGTTTTTCAAGGAAGGAAATGCATGGAAGAAAAAAACACCCCAGAAAGAGTGTACAAGGGAATGTGTGATGTTTAAAAACTGGAAGTTGCAAAAAAAGCAGTACCTCTGGATATAGTGGAGATCTGGAGGTCTCTTTGGCAAAGATCAAGGTCGTTTGGACTGCAGTCTTCTCCAGTTTTGCCACCGGCTCATTTCACTTCGTGGTGGGGACCTAAGTGACAGCATACCAACAGCAGCAGGAGGAGCGCCCCCTGCAGGGTATAGAGGAAAGTGGGTTTCCATTTTGAAGGCCTACACAGAAGTGATAGAAAATCATGTTTGGCTAAGCAATGGAAAGGTGCCATTTTGGCAGCATTCCAGCCTGTGGTGATGCTTTCCTTGCAGTGGTGCCTGTTAAAGGGTCCCTGTCAAAAGACAAACTGAAGCCTGCTCTTAGTAAGCACAGGCTTCCCTGAGCCGGGAGCTACTCAACTGCGTTGGTCTAGTTTGATGGACAGAGCTGTGGTGTGACACCTCCCTCTTTATGACCTTGAGATTCTTCCTGCAGCATGGAAAAGGCAAAAGCAGCAGGCAGGCTTGCATAGTTGGTAAAAGTAAACTCACTAGTCATTATAGAACTGTGAGTGAGAGGCTGAGAAGATGGCTCAGTCTCTAAGGTGTTTGCCAGACAGGCATGAAGAACTGAGTTTGATCTTAGAACCCATGTACAAAAGCTGGGCACAGTGTAGTGCATTCCTGTAATTCTGGAGCTCTGGAGTTTGAGACAGCAGATCTCTGGGGCTCTGTGACCCACTAGGCAAGTTTCAGTTCAGTGAAAGACTGTCAAAAAAACAAGGAGGAGAGAGCTGAGGACCAACAGCTGAGGTTGACCTCTGGCTAAACGCATACATGTGCAGGCATACATACCGGAATACACACACACACACACACACACACACACACACACACACACACACACACACACACACACACACACACGTGCATGCGCACCACACACATATACACATGAACTGTATGAGAAAGAAATGCTGCCATGAAGCATTTCAAGATGGCATGGCTCCATACACAAAGTGATGTGGAATGGTTGTGTACATCTGCTTTATAGATAGCACTGAGAGTCAAAGTCAGACCCAAAACCACCATGAAGGAGTGTTATCGGTATATAAGGATTTATTATCTTGTGGCAAAGCTAACGTATAGGGGCCGGGAGTATAGCCCACTACAAAATAACTAAACGGTGAAAAGGTGCAGAATACTTCTCCAGCACATCCCTGGGCTCTGTCCTCAGTGCAACCAAAAAAGAAAAAAGTGTGAGGCCAAATTCATTTTATAAATATTTCACTCATGGGAGTGGAAACTAGTTAATGATTCCATTTTTCAGTTCTTACGTTTTAATTGAAACTAATCAGTAAAACTGGAAGAACTACTTTCCAGAATTATATTCTCTAGTTTTGAAGTAATACTGGCTTTCGAGAGGACATTGTTTTTTTTTAAAAAAAAAAAAAGTTTCTCTGACTAGTAATTGTTTTAATCCAAAGCTGAAATCTATTAAACAAAATTTTTAGCATCCCCCCCACCCCCCAAGCATTGTGGTTGCTTCAGTCTTGAATGTCTGATCACTGAGCCTGAGGGAATCATAGGCACCTTACATTTAGAATCTTACAAGCATAGGTGCTTCTAGCAGCCTGGTGGTAAGGCGGGGAGAGCCCCCAGGGAACACTAGGCACTCTGGGGTAAGACAGCAGGGTTCACAGATATTAAAGGAATTTACTTAGCCAAATTCCTCCAGAGAGACACAGTGACATAAACTTTATCTAGCAGTGTGTAGGTTCTGGTCAGGAACTCACCATGAAGAGCCATCTGTCCTTTCCTCCCCAAAATGGGCTATCCTGTGTACTGCACTCCACCTTATCTCTATTAAACACAGTCCCAGGATAAAGGAGAGGGGAGGAGGGAGGAATGGGTGGATCGATGGATGCATGGATAGATGGGGATAGAAGGAACGATAGATGGATGGGTAGATGGGTAGTAAAGGGAGAGATGAATGAATGGGTGACTAGAACAAGAGAAAAAGGGAGGGGTAGATGAATGGATAGAGGAATGATGGGTGGGTAGATGGATAAATGAGGAGGGAGGGATGGATGAGTGGGTGGGTAGATGGGTGGGTGGAGAGAAGGAAGAGGAGGGATGGGTGGGTAGATGGATGAATAGGGGAGGGAGGGATGGTAAGTGGGTGGAGGGAGAGATGGATGGATGGATGAATGGGTGGGTGGGAGAAAGAAGAGGAGGGATGGGTAGTTATATGGATGGATAGGAGAGGGAGAGGTAGCTGACTGACTCATTTGAGAGAGGTTCTTTATAGCTTCCCATGGAGGTATTTGTGTACTTACAGCCCTTTCCAGCTGTTCCTTATTTGAGCCTGTAATCCCTAGCTCTTCAGCACAGTCCCCCTTACAGCTGTCAACACACATCTGTCCCAGTGGCTCACTATCTTTTTGTTTATTGCAGATAACCAAGACTACCCTGCTCCACTCGGTGAAAGGCTCCTGACAGTTTTATCCTGGATCCTAAGGCAGAAGGAATGGAGGTAAAGGTGCAATTTTTCAAACCTGTGAGAGTACCAGGAAAGTGACTGTTCTCCTCTACTCCTTCAATAGAGTAAGGTCATTTCTGATGCAGCTGAGGAAAATGCAGACCATCAAAAAGGAGCCGGCATCCCTGGATCCTTCCAGCAGCTCGGACAAGATGATGGTGCTGAATCCTGCGTTGGCCGAAGTGGCCGAGGACCTGACTGCAAGTGAAGAGATGCTCCTGAATGAAGGGAGCATGGGGAAAAACAAATCCTCCGCATGTCGGAGGAAACGGGAGTTTATTCCCGATGAGAAGAAGGACGCCATGTACTGGGAGAAAAGGCGGAAAAACAATGAAGCCGCCAAAAGATCTCGGGAAAAGCGCAGGCTCAACGACCTGGTTTTGGAGAACAAGCTAATTGCACTAGGAGAAGAAAATGCCACTTTAAAAGCCGAGCTGCTCTCCCTGAAATTAAAGTTTGGTTTAATTAGCTCCACAGCATATGCCCAAGAGATCCAGAAACTCAGTAATTCCACAGCTGTATATTTTCAAGACTACCAGACATCCAAGGCTGCCGTGAGCTCATTTGTGGATGAGCATGAGCCTGCGCTGGTGGCCGGGAGCTGCATCTCTGTCATCAAGCACTCTCCCCAGAGTTCACTGTCTGATGTGTCTGAGGTGTCTTCAGTGGAGCACACACAGGAAAGTCCTGCGCAGGGCGGCTGCCGGAGCCCTGAGAACAAGTTCCCCATCATCAAACAGGAGCCTGTGGAGCTGGAGAGCTTCACCAGGGAACCCAGGGAGGAGCGGGGTGCCTATGCCACCTCCATCTACCAGAACTACATGGGGAGCTCTTTCTCTACCTACTCCCACTCCCCACCTCTCCTGCAAGTCAATAGATCCTCCAGTAACTCCCCGAGAACTTCAGAGGCCGATGAGGGTGTCGTGGGCAAGTCCTCTGATGGAGAAGATGAACAGCAGGTGCCCAAGGGCCCTATCCATTCTCCAGTGGAGCTGCAACGGGTGCACGCCACAGTGGTTAAGGTTCCTGAAGTAAACCCCTCTGCCTTGCCACACAAGCTCCGGATCAAAGCCAAGGCCATGCAGATCAAAGTGGAGGCCTTGGACAACGATTTTGAGGGCATACAGAAACTCTCCTCCCCTGCCGATGTGGTGTCCAAAAGACACTTTGACCTGGAGAAGCATGGTGCCCCTGGTATGGTCCATTCCTCCCTCCCTCCTTTCTCAGTGCAGGTGACGAACATTCAAGATTGGTCTCTCAAATCAGAACACTGGCAACATAAAGAACTGAATGGTAAAACTCAGAGTAGCTTCAAAACGAGAGTGATGGAAGTCAAAGACAGTGGCTATAAAGTTTCTGAAGCTGAGAATTTGTATTTGAAGCGGGGGATAGCAAACTTATCTGCAGAGGTGGTCTCACTGAAGAGACTCATAGCCACACAGCCCATCTCAGCCTCGGACTCTGGGTAAATGCTACTGATTGAACTGCGTGTGGATGAGGAGGATGCCGCTGGTACCATGCTGTATTTCCACTGGACCTCTGATGTCATTTCACTGTAATGTGCACACGGTGTCTGTCTGGTGTCTGTGTGTGCACATGCTGAAGACTCAATGCTGTCACTCTGCCTGGTGTGTAGTCAGATAACCCGCACAGAGGCTGTACATATCGAACATTATTTTGCTCTATTATAAAGTGTGTACGTTGCCAGTTTCAATAAAGGATTGGTGACACACAGCATGGGCTCCATTCCAGTTGATTTGATGGAAACAGAAAAATCCACTTAAGTTTTCTAAAGTAGAGGCTAGAAAGATGACTTTGGGTAAGGTGCTTCCCGCACAAGCATGAGGACATGGGTTCAGTCCCCAGCATGCATATGAAAAGCCAGGTGCAGAGGCTCACAACTTGGGGAGGCAGGGCATGGAGATAGGTGGATCCCTGGGGCTCACTGGCCAGCCAGACTAGCCTAACTGGCAAGCTCCAGGTGCAGTAAGAGACCCTAATAAAGTGGAGGATGATTGAGGAGGACACCGACATTGACCTCTGTCCTCCACACATACTGACACAAAAAAGATACATAGTGAATTATTCTACATTTTACTTAATGTCGCCTCCCCAGAATGAGGGAAAACTGAAATATAAATTGAACAAATAATTTGTTTTTCCAAGCAATCATGTGCTTAGAAGTCTTCTAAAGAAAGAGGTAAAAGGCCTGGGAACAGAGCTCAGCTGTAGAGCCCAGGGAAGAGGGACAGTAACAGTGAGTGTCTCTGTACTGGGGAGTGGTTCACTAAATCATCACCCATTGGATAGTTTTCCTTAGGACCACGTTTCTTTAAAGTAGGAATCTCTTAAGTGGTTTGGTGCCGGCCTTGCCTTAGTCACCTCCCTTTTAAGCATGACACATGGTGCAGGGGGCTGAGTCATGACCCACTTTACTGGATGAAAAACTGTGTTCAAGAGCAGATGAAGGCTGAGGCTGGAGATGATTTTTACATTACTCTAAAGCCTAACAGTTCTGGAGTGAGACCATCTAGGGAGTTAAGCTATATACTGTTTTTATGTAGTTTAAGGAATTTCCAAGAATCTATCAGTTACCACATGCCAACAACTATATATTCTGAATATGTTTATTGACTTTTTAAATGACTTGTTCATGGGCTAGAAATGTAATTCGGTGGCAAAAGCACTTGCCTGGCACACGTAAGGCCGCAGTCTCCATCCCCATCATCTCAGGGGAACAAATGATGTATTGATGAGAAATAGAAATAATGCCTCTCCGTGCTTTAGACATTAGAAATTATAACATACGGGTCTAGAAAGCATCATCCCAAGAAGCAAGTGCCATCAGATACAAGCCCAATGTGCTCTGCTGTGGGGGTGGCGGGTGTCCCGTGGGTGGATGATAGACGGTGTCTCAGTAGGTCATTCCTCACGTGAGCACTGTTTCCACACTGACCTTTCTGTCCTTGATGTTGGTAACCTGTGCACAGTGACTCAGTCTTGCTCTTCACCTGTGCCACACTGGCACTAAAGCACCCGGAGGCAGGACACCAGGGAGCCCCACTGAGTCTTTCTGACTGTCCACATGCAGTGCAGGTTGGTGCTTGTTAAACTAGCTGCCCTGCATTTTCAGATTTTTACAAACTCTGGTGCTTTGGGTTCAGGGAACTTCCTGCACCAGATGTAAACACACATACACACCCACGCCACCCACTTTATTCTTTGGCTCTGACCTCCATGTCCGTCCAGGGTTTTGCCGCTAGAGCCATGTGTGGCTGGGTGAGGCTCTCCACCTCGCTCCTCAGTCTTAGGACAGGCTGAGCTGAGGCCTGAGGCAGAGTCAACTGCAGCAAGCAGGGCTAACAGAACGAAGTCAAGACCCAAAAGGAAGCAAAGGAGCAGGGCTGATGGACAGAAGAGAGTTAGGACCCAGAATGCTTTGAGAGCCTAGAATGAAGAGGATGACTCAAACAAGATAGGCTGCAGTAGAGTCAGGATGTATGTAAACTTTTCCTATGTGGAAAAAATACTGAGGGGTACAGGTTGTAGCGTTTGGTAGAGTGCTAGCCTAGTTCAGGCAAGGCCTGTTTTCAATCCTCAGCACTACAAAACAAAACAAAATCCACAATAAAGAGAAAAACAATAAAATAATTAACAATGGTGGAGGTGGGGTATGCCCTTCAAGCTTGCTGTGAGTCAGTTCCCTGTGAAATAACAGGTTATATCAGTGCTGACAGCATCCAAACAGACAGCTGCCCCCTGTCTGCAGAGCGCACATAATAAGTGTAACAGAAAACATCCTAAAGGGGGCTAGACATATGGCTCAGAGGTTAAGAGTACTTGCTGCTCTTCAGAAGACCCGAGTTTGGTTCCTAGCATCCATTTCTGGTGGTTCACAGTCTCTAGCTCCAGGGCACTGTCTCCTGTCCTCACACTCAAGCACAGATACAATAATAAATTTATTAAATTAAATAATATAAATCTTAAGGAAAGCATTATGAAGGTGTTGCGGGGTTGCAGTCATGAGGACTGTGAGAAAACTTGGTCAGTTATCCAGGAATGGGGTGCGCTTACACTGAGGTGCCAAAAGGGGCGAAAAACATAACGGAAAGATCTCGTTCTGAAGAATTTTGTTTCCAGAACAGTGATGAAGAGTACTGAACTCAGGCCACAGCACCTTCCCAACCTTGGTTACTGCTATTTGGGCTCCAGGGGATTCGCCCGCTGCCCCCACCTTCAAAGTAAAGACCACAGAGTGTGGCCTCCATGCCCAGCTTGCCTCCCAGATTCATTGCCAGATATGAGCAAGTCACTGAGAATGTCACACCTGGGTACTTTGTCTCTGTTCTTTACTGTCACTTTGCTTTAGCATCTCAAGGACCTACATTATCATTGAGGTAATAGTTGTTCCTCCTCAAAAATAAAAGGAACCTCACTGACCTTCCATGAACCAAAGAAATAGTTAAATAAATAAATAATCACTTCTTTTATAGACTACCAGCGGGAATCACTCCCTAGCCCTTAAAAGTTATTTTAAAAATGAATTGTTTGGGAGGTGGAGGCCAGAGGATCAGTAGTTAAAGGTCATCGTCAACTATGTAACAAGTTCCTGGCCACATCAGATCCTCAAACACAAAAATATGGATTATTTCTAGAATCTTCTATTGATTATTGTCCAACTGACCACAGGTAACCAAATCTGTGCATAAAGAGTGGTCACTGTGCCAAGACTCTGAGAGGCTATGTTGCCTAAGCTTCCCCAGCAGCCAGTGGTGCAGTCCCCATGATTCAAGGCCTGTGCCTGAACAAGGAGGATGACCAGGAGCCAACATGGGACGCAATATGAGTGTCTATGGGAGGAAGAGAGAAATTTAAAGGTCTTTTAGATAGCCTTTAAATTCAGGTACAATGGCACATGCCTGTAATCCCAGTAATCGGAAGGCCAAGGTAGGAGGATTACAAGTTTATGGCCAGCCTAGGCTTCATAGCAAGAACCTGTCTGAAGTAAAAACAACAGAAAACTACTATTGAAGCATCTACATTTCTATTATATAATAGCTGTATAATAGGCTTAGCTTTTACCTTCAATGGAGGAAATACTCCATAATCAAAACAGCTCATATGTGTGTGGTTCTTACAGGTTCTATGGCTGCCCACACATAGTACCTTCTGAACTCTGAGCCCTCATCAGGGGATTCTGTCACATGGGCATCGTTAATTAAAACATTTTAAGCTATTGTGTTAGGGACAGGGGATGAGGCTTGGTTAATAGAATACTTACCTGGTGTGTATGCAGCCCTAGGTTCCATCTCCAGCACTGCACATGCCTGTAATCCAGCACACAGAAGGTAGAGGCAGGAGAATCAGAAGTTCAAGGTGACCCTTTGTTTCATAGGGGGTTTGAGGTCAGACTGGGCTAAGAACATTTTCTCCAAAAAATAATTACACAGACACGTTGTAATTTAAAACCTGGTAGCTATTAAGGTCTATTTTGAAAACTAAGTCCTTGTTGGAATCCCCTTGGAAGGAACAGGAGTCATTGAAGTAATATGACCACTGATGATCTGGGCTATGTCCCATCAGCCACTTGGACCAGGAAATTTCAAATGAAAACACTTGCCATGAAAGGGAAGTTGTTGAGGTCCCAGAGTACCAGTAAGGCTAGAGGAAGAGCTAGAATGTCATGAGAAGGGTACTTGGCATACAGTTGGTTTTTGGCAGTGCCCCCACAGAGGAAGCTGGTACGGATTCTAGAGGACAAAAGGAAAGGCTGGATTTAGGAAGTTATAGATAGAGGAGGAAGCACAATGGACAGTGGGAGGTGACAGGAGCCTCTTGAATCAGGAGAGCCTCAAGGCTGCTGTTGGCTGAGTAGTGAAAGTATGTGGAGACTGGCAGGGAGCAGAGCCTGCGTATACTTCAGCCAAGTGTTTCCCGCAGGGCTAATGCTGCTTCACTCACTTAAAAAGGAAAAGGTGACTTTGGCAAGAATTAAGTCCCTTTGGAGAAGAACTTGGAGGCAGGTGAGCTGGCTCAGTGGGTAAGGGCACCTGCTGCCAAGCCTGACAACCAGAGCTTGATCCCTGGGGCCCACATGGTAGAAAGAGAGAACCAACCCCTGCAAGGCGTCCTCTGACCTGCACACACATGTTGTAGTACAAATGTATTATTTAAATATAAAAAAGTTCAAGACTAAAAAAGAAAGAATGTGGAAGAAATCACGAGATTAGAAAGGAGGGGTAAAGGAAGTTGTTCAGCAGTAATATAGAGCAATTAGAAATGAGGAATGGGCAGAAGCCTCAGGATGGGTAAACCTGGAAGTGAGCAGACATCTCAGTTTAACAAGGGTTTTTAAAGTTACATTCTATCAGCTCTGTCAGACTTCCAGGGACAGGAAGCTTTGTGAAGCAAGACCAAGAATACCCTTGGGGACTCAGGGAAAAACAAAACCTCCTGTCAGTGCCCCAACCCCCAAAACTGGTTAGTTGCTTTGCAGAGAAAAAAAGGAAGTGGTGGGAGTGGGGCCTTGTGTATTTTAGGGGATAGGACAAGCAGAGCTTGGGGTGGATGGGATAAAGAGAAGGCTGGGCCACTGTAGACCCACAGTGGGTGGACAACCACAGGATCCTGAAGACCAACTGTGTAACTTAGAAGTGTTTCCATGATAGGGTGGAAATGGGCAAAAATACTTCACTTCTTCAGTTTTCAGTAAGTCCTCCTACACTCGAATGCTTCCT